AAGGTCTGTGTAATCGTTCTAACAACTGTGAGCAGAGGGCCCTGGAAGTGGAATATGGCATCAGTGCACCATCCTACTAAGAGTGCACATGAGCTTTTATGGCAAAAAGTCAGATTGCTTTAGTGCCTCCTTGATGCAAGATGATGCAAAGGGCAAAAGTAACTTATCTGCAAACTGCTTTGCCTCAACCAAGAGCAATTGCTGTAAGCACACTGGGCAGCGAGAGATTGAGTTATCACATACACTATGTATGTGTGTGAATGTATTTTAATATATAGTGATGGTTTCTGTGACAAAAACAGTACCTAAATCATGGTGTCTCCTGACTTGCTTCCTTGCTGTTCCACTTCGGTACCTGGAGGCGGCCTGACTTCCAGCTGACTTCTCTCCAAACTCCTGTTTGCATATGCTGGTGGGTGGACTGTATGCCCTTGTTTAGTTTCTTTTCTCTCCACTGCACTGAGGAGGACATGGGGAAATTGAAAGTCAGCCAGATGCATACCAACGTGAACAGGGAGGGAGTGCCTGTGGTACGTGAGCCATTAGGAACCAGTACAAAGAAAGGCTTTTAGGATGCCAATCTCAAATGGTTTCAGCCAAATCGTTTTGCCGAGGCAAGCAGCTTCAGTGCTAGCAGAATCTACAGTGCAGAAGAGGATCACGGTGTACAGGGAGGTTTCCTGAACTGTGGAAAACTTCAGGGGAGCAGAGAGACCCACTGGGAACCCACAGCTGGCACGAGAGCAGCTGACAAGCCCCCACACCTATAAAAGAAACCCCTAGGGAGAGCTAACTTAAGGGAATTAAGGGGAAAGCAAATGATGGTGATTGGTGACTGTCTTGGTCACAGTGGCCACAAAGTAGTTGAGTTTCAAATTGCTGGCAGCAGGAGGAAAACTGCGAGTGAAACTTTGACCCTGGATATGGGGAGAGCAGACTTTGGGCTACTGAAGGAGCTAGCTCGTAAGGTCCCCTGGGAATCTGCTTTTGAAGGTATTGGGGTCCATGAATGCTGGTCGCTTTTTAAGAGCCAACTCCTAAGAGTGCAGGAGCAGGCAATTCCAAAGTGTCGGAAGTCAAGCAAGCAGAGCAAAAGACTGGCTTGGCTAAGTAGGGATCTTCTTCTAGAACTTAGGTGGAAAAGGAGAATGTATGGACATTGGAAGCAAGGACAGGTGACACAGGAGGGCTACAGGGATGCTTTTCGGCACTGTAGGGAGAAAATTTGTGGGGTCAAAGCTTGATTAGAGTTCAAGCTGGCCAGCACTGTGAATGACAGTGAAAAGGGCTTTTTTTAATATGTTAGCAGCAAAAGGAGGATCGGAGGTAACATTGATATGTTACTTGATGAGGTTGGCCACCTCACAAATAGGGTTGTAGACAAAGCGGAGACATTTAATGCCTTCTTCACCTCCATCTTTAACACTGATGGTGGCCCCTGGGACACCCGGAACCCTGTGTTGGAACACCATGACTGGGGAATGATCAACTCCCAGTCAACTCTGTTCGAGACTTGCTGCAGCTCAATGCAGATAAATCTATGGAGCCCAATGGGATTCATCCCAGTGTACTGAAAGAGCTGGCCAATGTTATCATGGGATCTCCATTATTTTACAATTATCTTGGGAGTCTGGAGAGGTCCCGGTTGAATAGAAGCTGGCAAATATTGTCCCAGTTTCTTCAGGAAGGGTAAGAAGGAAGACCCTGGCAATTACAGGCCTGTCAGTCTCACTTTGATGCCTGGTAAATTATGAAGAAGGTTATTCTGACAGCTATTGAAAAACACTTGAGAGACAATGCAGTCATTGGTCATAGCCAACATGGGTTCACAAGAGGAAAGTCCTGCTTAACTACCTTAATTTCCTTTTATGACAAGGTCACCCATGTTGTTGACCAAGGGAAACCAGTAGATGTGCTTTTTTGAGTTTTAGTAAAGCTTTTGATATTATCTCTCACAGTATCCTTCTGGACAAAATGTCCAGCATACAACTAGACAAGTCCATAATGCTGGGCATCATCCAGACACTATGGGAGGTCGGAGATGAGCTAGGTGAGGCTATGCGCCAGAGCATGCAGCAGCGTGCAGAGCAGCTGTCCCAGGAGATAGCTCGGCTGCTTGAAGAGGTTGAGCAGAGTGCCCAGGAGCAGCTCTTTGCTGCCTTGCAGCAATGGCAGTTCTGGGCCTTTGCTGGAGGTCTGGTCCTGCTCTTTTGGCTGTGCTGGTGGCTCTGGAAAAGGAGCCATGAGCCAGGCAGCACAAGCAAGGATGGCAGCTCCAGAAGCCTTGAGGAGGAGGAAGACGGGGAAGACACATTAGATGTGGACAAGTTTCTGGACAAGTACACGTTGTGGCCATTGCCAAACAGGGAAAGCATATGCACAGTGGTGGAAAAGCTGGTGAACAGCCTTCTCCGTGACTACCAGTTCCTCTCCAGCAGTGGCTTCATGCCACGGCTGCAGCCAGCTGTTGGGGTGGGAGGCTTCCTAGAAGGCCAGAATGCCTGTGAAGAAGACTTTATCTATTGCCTGCTTGTGCCCCTGAAGCCACCCCCTGGGCACTCCTTCCACCTTGAGATGGGCACTGAAGGGAAGACACTGGTGAGGAATTGTTGCCTGCGTGTGGAACTGGAGTACATGTGCACAAGGGAGTGGTGGCTAGGGGACGTGCTCTGCTTCCTCCACCACCCTGATGATGAGCTGAGGAGCAGGCAGAAAGCCAACCTCCTAGAAACCCTCTGCACCAGCTCGTACCTCGATGTGCAGAAAACTGCCTTCTGGCTCCAGGAGCTGATGGGAGCAGCCTGCGCTGCTGTACCTCAGGCAGCCAGAAGCAAGTTAACAGTGCTGCCCTCCACACGCATCTGCAAGCTCAAGGTGACCAACAGCTTCAAAAGATCCCTCTTCATTGAGTTGATCTTGGCAGTGCAGCAAGGCAACGAGGACACGTTCGTGAGCATGGAGTAGGCAGAGGTCATTGTGGCAGTGCTTTTGCAGGTGGAAAGCTGTGTGGGAGAAGCCAGCGCTGGCACATCTGGCGAGGTGGCAGGGCTACTCCGTGGGATGCAATGTGAGAACCCACCCGGCTGCCAGGGCTCTGAAAAAGGACTATAGACCTGTGTGTAGAAGAAACAAATATGTATATCCCAGTTAAGCAAGACAAAACTACCCTTAAGCGACGGCACAAAAGTTCAATGCGATAATCACATTAGCCTTCTTGAGCTAGCCATGCATGTGAAGCACAATACAGCCCCTATTTCCTATTTGTATGCATTATGAATCTGAAATATTCATATTTTATTGTCCTGCGTTGACAGCAAACTGTTAGAACAGAAGAATGGCTGGCTTTCTGTCTGGAGTTTCATGTCTTATTTAATGCAAGCTTGAATGGCAAGCAGAATTAATCAGGTTCTCAACTTCACTTTATCAAAGGTTATTCACACTAGCAGCCCTTAAATAGAGCTGAGGATGGGAGTCTGGTGTCCTTTCCACTGGCTTAGATGTATGTATTCCACCTGCTCAAAAAATCCTAAGGGAATTGAGCACTCTTGTGCAATATCAGTAGGATCTTCAGATTTAACCTATTTAATGCCTCTCTGAAAAGGCTAGATTCAAGCCATGATGAGCATCTGGCTGAAGCCCTCTCTGATCTAACAGCACCCTTCAGCTTCTGGCACATACCGAAACAGAGATGGAGTCCCCACATAGTGATATGGGAAAGCAGACAATGGGGAATATCAGCTTGGGACAAAACATCAGACGTATCTGAAACACTGTTCATGCTTTACAACCTTTGGTATTTCCCTGCATGTTTGTACAGGACAGCCAGCCAAAGACTAGAAATGCAATATGTTCTTTGTGCAACATCCCAGTCTGAGCACCTGATGGAAAACTCAGGGGAACTTCTGTGCTGCCTTCCTGGATTTTAACCCAAGAAGTTTCCCCTGCCATCGTTCCCCCAAGCAGTAGCTGCTGTGGCTCCCTGTCAACGCTGAGTGGGAGAAGCTGGGTGTGCTCTCTGTGGAAAGGATTTCCCTGACATCACTCTGGTCTCCGAGCACGGGTGGCCACAGGGAGCATGACGGCCGCCTCCTTTACAGGGAATTACAGAAAGCAACTTTGCCTCAAGAGCTCAGCGTGGCGAAGGGCCCAGAGCAACCCGCCGTGCTGCCTGTCACACCTGCCAAAAGGAAGCGGTAATGAAAACAAGCAACTTTCAATAAAGCATGTGCGTTCACTTGGAAATAACGAAAATAAGCACAAAGCAGCTGAGAGGCCCTTCTCAGGCTGTGTGTCACTGCTCCCTATGGTCACACTGTCACCAGTTTCCCCTAGAATGGGGTCCATTTGACCACAGCAATGTGCTGCAAGGTGTCATTGGCCCCACAGAGAACTGAGTGCTAAGGGACCCCACTCAAATAAATGACTCTTAAAAAAAAAAAAAGGTAGGGAATTATTTTACAATTGTTTTCCAGTTGCTAACATTACTGTTGGAAGCTGCTTTTCCTCCAGGACCTTGCAGAGGCCCTGCTCACTTCAAGTGAGGAGGAAACTCCCTGCTCTGGTGGTCTTCATGGAGCACCATCCAGTCTCCATCCCCTGTCTCCTCCACAAAAGCAGAAGTGGCATGGGCCCTTCAGCCCATGTTTTCTGTGGGAGCTCCGGCCCTACTGGCTCCCCTGGGAACAGGCTGCAGATTTATTGCACACGTTCAATGTGTAGTCCTGCAGTTGTGACTACTGGCAAATGCCTTCAACCCTCAGTCTTCACTTCTCTTCCTTTACCTCTTCATAGTTTGCAAGAAGTCATGATTGAAGAGAGGACAAGGAAAAAAGATTATTTCCGTGAAGCTGTCTGAGTTACCTAATGGTTTTATGGATCATGTTGCCAGGAAGGAAATACCCCTAAGAGCAGTACTCTGCATCCCTGAAAGTTTTAACCTCTTTTCAAATAAACCTGAACCCCATTGCATGGGAACTGTGACAGCCCTGAGAGGGTAGACTAGTCCAATAGCATGTTTTAATGACAAGATAAAATCATTGATTTATTTTTTTAGAGTGCATTTCACAAACTCAACTCCCATACTACAACCAGCAAATCAAAAATCTTTCTCTCTACCTTATGTTGGTTGCTCAGTTTCCACATGCTTCTCGAAAAATCTTATCGGATCCCCACATGACTTGGTTGACACTTTACGTGTTTAAATTAGTACTTAAAGGGCTTACTTAAAGTTTATTGCTCTTATCTCTGTTGTTCACTGGGTGTGCCTGTCCCTTCCTCCTTTTTTGTCTGCTGAATGAAGCTGTCTGAAACACAGCTTTATCACTGCAGGGCATTTGCAACAGCAGCAGAAGAATAAAAGCAACAAGTTTTTTCTAATCTCTCAGTGCACTTCATCATCTTCCATCAGTGCAAACCTACCAAATTTGAAGTTTAGAAATATATCCAATAACAATTTCTTCCTACAGCACAAACCCAAACTATTAAGGCAAACCAGCAATTATTCTTCCATGCTAACATCAACATAAAGCAGATTAGAAGAATTAAATGCACAAGAGTGCAGTTCTTTTATGATTATGCACCCTTAATCTTCAGAAGATGGTTAATTACATTTTAAGCAGCATAAGAGCCCTAACATATTTGTATGTTAATAAAAATTCTCACCAGGGGTTTAAATCTAACATGTATTCACAGGTATAACTAATGGCATTTTTCAGTAATGCTGTGAAAAAATATGCCTGTAAGTTAGTAGTTTCACACAGGCAACTGCTGGGAGTTTTTAATTTACTCTCTAACTATTCTCCTAATCATTCTCTTGTCATGCTGGGATGGCTTAACGCGTACAGATCATAATGATGGTGTGCACCCACCATAGCAGTGTCAGCGATGACATTTGTCAGTGTTTGAAGTCGGACTGCTGCAATCAGAGCTCTGCAGCCGAAGGAAGGAGGGAAACAAACAGGGATGACACTGCAGCCCTGCTGTTTCACAAGAACTTATGTTTGCTGGCTTAAGGCTTATTCCAGTTCAGAATGCGATTAGTCTCTACCCAGCACAGGCTCAAACATCTCTGCAATTCAGAGCTTTTAGGACTACCTGTTAAGAGTGTTGTGCTCAGAGATGCTGAAGGTCCAAAGAGACTTCTTTCCTGGAAATCCTCATAAACGAGGACAGAACCTGTCGTTTATCTCTGCTTCCAACCTCTGGAAAGCGAGAGCACTGGGGTACGAAGTGGAATCTGTATTTTTATCCACATCTACTGCTTGGAAATTTCAGCTCCAGATAGTCCAGGATTTTGGCTAGGGTAAGACCTAGCCTGATTCAGGTCAAAACTCTCTTTGCTTCCAACCCAAAGTAGCTCCAGCAATGCAGAAAGCATGAGCTTTAAGTGGTCCAACTTCTGGGAAAGAGCGTACCAAAATGGGAGGCACATGCCTTCCTCCTGGGTTCAGGGGGAGAGAGAGACTCGTTTCGTTCACTGAATGGCACCAGAACAGAGCAAGCTCAAGGGAATGAGTGTCATGGGGAAAGGGGAAAAAGCGGGTGCTATTGATGTTTCCTGCAAGGGCTGAGGCCAGTGTCCACAAGCTTTGTCCTTCCCTCCGGTGTGTTTATTCTGTTGGTTGACCAACATCATGCCAGTTTCCTCTGTGAGAGCCACCTGAGTTTCAGGAAAAAGAAGCTTTACAGCTCAACTTTATTTTGCTCTATTATTTGGTTATTTCTTCCCACAGTGGATTTTCTTCATGTCTACCTCTCAGTGTAGACATTGTTATTCCGAAATATCCCCAGGGCATAAAGATAATTTGGGAAAGAAGGAAAGAACTGAACTTTTGAAATATGTTACCTAATTATTCGTATTCCTCATTCTGAGCCTTATTTGTGGCAAGGATGACTCATTGCCCTTGAACACCCACTGCCTATCTATTTCCTCTAATGTTGCTTTCCTTTTTGATTTTCCGGATACGGGTAGCTGACTGCTTATCTATTCCTACTGTTAAAATGATGCATAACCACTGCATTTTGTGGATGGAAAGATTATGGACACTGAAATGTCATCACAGCCCCATTTGCTCATCTGCTGTTATTTACTTTCCAGCAGACAATATTCAGTACACAGGCACACACAATGCAGAAGTCAGCACAACATTCATCACATTGATATCGGACGTACAATGTTTGCTGCCACTGATCAACGGAAACAGTCTGGGCTGGAGGATTTACAGAGCTCCCAATCTCCCTTCAGGCTCTGTACAAATTTCCCCTGGCTGAGATATTGTAGCTCTGGAAAGGAGCCAGTGGGAAGGGTTCCCAAAACAGTAGAATGTAGAGGTCCACTGTCAGAGTGACCTTCCTCTCTTGTGGATACAACTGTGCACTGGTTTCCTCCAAAGACTTCCAGTGCCACCACTGCGTTCAGTGCTCCCTGGGAGGTTTGCACAGCACTCCCTGGGGCACTAGCCTGTGTCATGGCCTCAGATCCCTTCCACTGGGGAGGCTTTTCGTGGATGCAGATGAAGCTCTGTTTAGAATAAGACATCTCCGGAAAAGCATCCTGAAGTGCTGCTACACAGTCACGTCACGTGAAGCAAATGCCCAGCTATCCAAAAGCATGTCCCAGGGCAATCAGTAGCGTAGCCCAACAGGGGTGGTTTAGACCCCTTCAGTCCAGGACTTGAAACCAGAAACCACAATACCTTGCATCCGTGCATTATCATGTGCTATGCCATTTATAAACACCTTGCAAAAACTGCCCCCACCCAGGAGAGTTTCCACTTCAGTGATAGAAGTCAGCAGATGCATTCTGCCCCTGGAGAGCGTGCAGCAACAGTAGGACCCCTTACAGTGGTTATGAGGACTATGGAACAGGCTGGCCAGGGGAGGGAGTCACCATCTCTGGAGGTATTTAAAAGACGTCTTGATGTGGCACCATGTGGAGATGGTTTAGTGGTGGACTTGGTAGTGTT